GCAAAATTACGGCCTGCATGTGGAAAGGACCACTGCCCACTGACCAGAAATCCTTTGTTGGGGTCCCGGTCTACTGCCACCAAGAGTGTGTCATCCCTCTTGGGGACACCTTGAGGCAAATCATTTATCTATCCAAGAATTGGGGCAATCTGTTGCAGGCCAGCCAAGATCGCTCATTGTACACATAATGGGGCGAACCTGCATTCCACCCAAAAGTGATTGTTCATGAGCTGCTCTCTTCTTTGATCGGGCGTAATGGGATTCTGCGGTTCCCATTGGCAGATCTCCACCGGCATTCCCCGGAACTTCATCCCCCTCATTTTTAACAGGTTATCCCTATCAATCGGGTAGATGGTTATTATTGTTATCACTCGAGCATCCACAGTCTCGATCAGGAAGTGGTCCTGCACCGCCTGAAAGTCTGTCTTGATTGTTCTCAGCCGCCCATTAATCCATCTGAGTTTTTCATTAATGGGTCCATTCGTGGCTTCATTTGGGAACAAGACCTGGACTACGTTCTTGGCATAGATAAGATCCCTGTTGGCGAGAGCATGCGGGGAGAATACCGCATGCGGGTATATGAAGCCGTTTTTCTCAATGTAGTTACTGATGGGGCATACATGAAGTTTCTGTATGAAGTGGGCCTTCATCAGACGAATCGGGTCTAGAGCCAGCGGGTCACCTTGTGCACTTTTCCCTGCTGCTGCCAGCGCAATCATCAGATCTTGGGAATCTCTGAGGATTTTGGATTTTGCAGTGTTCGATTGCTGCTATTTATTTTGGGTCATGTTCGCCGGGGATATCGGGCTGAATGGGTCTTCCTGGCCCTTGTTGGCCTTTCGAGATAGCGATGGAAGGTGTCAACACTTTGGACACCCAGGTCTCTGCGGGTCGTTGGTCAGATAGGGTTTGTATTTGGGGTACCACTGCCGTAGTATGGATGGATGCAGACCCGTGGGGTCCCTGCCCCGACGGTGAAGTCCCGCCCCTCTCCTTTAGCCCTTCTTGCCTACCTTCCCCACTCTCCTGGGGGGGTAATGGATGGCCAGGTCCAATTTGTGCGGCAGCCTGTTTCCCGTGTGGGCCGACATGTGCGTCCCGTCTGTTCCCCGCCATCGCTTGATCCTTGGCCCGCCATTGCAGCTGCTCGGGGAGTGTGTCTTCCCTGCCGGGTCGTTTTGTGTCTGTTTTGTTGCACTATGTATGAATCCCTGGATAGTCGTTTTTGTATGTTAATCTTCTTTTATATTTGTTTTGTAATTCACACTTGTGCGTGCACTCCGCGTGTGCTCCAATTATATTTATGTCAAATTATGTGTGATATTTTATTATTGGATCTATTCCTAACTCTTTTCAGTGCGGTGGAGTGTTGATGGAGTTATTCAGGGGAGGGGGAGCGGAGGGAGAGAGGAGGGAACGACATTAGGGTGGAGACAGGAGGGATCAGGGCAGGTCAAAGGATCGAATCAGACTAGGCAGACAGCCGACCATGGGGCACCATACCATCCCGTGGGTCTTCCCCAATCGTCGTGCTTGCAATGCACTTCCTTCGCTGTTTGTTTTACGCCGTCGAGTCTAGCAGTCTCTTGTTGCTCCCGCCTCCATTGTTTCACTCTTATCTGTGCTATTCGCACCCACTGACAGCCACTGTCCCACCGTCTTACTCTCGCACGTCCAAAATTTCAGTTCTTCCCATCACCTTACCTTTCCCATTCCATCCGTTGTTCCTCCTCCTTTCGTCCGCTGGTGCTACATCCCTTACTCAGTTCCTTCTTCCGAGTCGCTTTTCCAACTCGTCCCATCGCCTTACTCTCCCTGTGCTATCCCTTCTTCGCCCCCCCTTCGTCCGCTGGTGCTACATCCCATACTCAGTTCCTTCCTCTAACTCGCTTCTCCTCTCCGTCTATGCCTTTCCACGTTTTCACCTTCTCCACTACCTGTTCAGTCCTTCCCTGCTCCGTGTCACGTTATTCCTTTGTCTCTCCTGGTGTGTTATCGCCGCTAACTCGCCCAAGGTTTTCCCGAGGTACTGACCTGTCTCCCTCCCTCGCTTGCTCGCGGGGCTCAGCGATGTCACGGGTCATTGCTCGCCTTCCTCGGCACTACCGAGGCAGTCAACCCGTGCCACGCAGGGCCTCGCCTGCCGGACCGGTTAGTGCGCTCATGCTCGCTTAGCGGTCGTCCCTGGCAGCAGCAGGGAAAAGTGCACAAGGTGACCCGCTGGCTCTAGACCCGATTGGTCTGATAAAGGCCCACTTCATACAGAAACTTCATGTACACCCCATCAGTAAGTACATTGAGAAAACGGCTTCATATACCCGCATGCCGTATTCCGCCCGCATGCTCTCGCCAACAGGGATCTTATCTATGCCAAGAACGCAGTCCAAGTTGTGTTCTGAAATGAAGCCACAAATGCACCCATTAACGAAAAACTCAGATGGATTAATGGGCGGCTGAGAACAATCAAGACAGACTTTGAGGCGGTGCAGGACCACTTCCTGATCGAGACTGTGGATGCTCGAGTGATAACAATAATAACCATCTACCCGGTCCAGCAGGCAAGGCCCTGCGTGGCACTGGTTGACTGCCTCGGCAGTGCCGAGGAAGGCGAGCGATGACCCGTGACATCGCTGAGCCCCGCGAGCAAGCGAGGGAGGGAGACGGGTCAGTACCTCGGGAAGACCTTGGGCGAGGTAGCGGCGATAACACACCAGGAGAGACAAAGGAATAAAGTTTTTGGTAAAGCTTCGATAAATTCTTTTGCTTCTTTGAGTCCTGAATTTGTAATACTACGAATCACTTTAATTACTGTGATTCTACTAGAGCTAGGTACTTCTTCGAGAATAATATCAAATTCAGTTTTTTCCTCAATCTCCTCTATCTCCTTGTTGTAGGATGTCGATTCAGCTAATATTCCTCTTGAGGAAAGAAGATTATCAGAACTGATACCCAGTTCATCTTGAAGCTTATCTGTAAAAATTTTTACTTCTTGAMGAGTTAAAGATTTAATGGCATTTAATAATTGATTGAAATCGACTTGTTCTTTTTCTTCTATTTGCATTGACATAAAAAAAATACCTCTTTGAATTTAGACTATTGAAACTTTATATATTGATTTATMATCACCAATAAACATATATCGATTGGTGATAACACACCAGGAGAGACAAAGGAATAACGTGATTTCTGGTGCTACTTCTACTTTGGATGTAACATAAACTGGACAGTCTGGCTGGTCCTGATTTTTCTTCCGGGTCGACTGTGAGGACCCTGACCTCTCCTATAAGGGACACTGGACCCGGTTTCGAGCAGGTGAAACTCCCCACCAATGGACAGGAGTAATTAAAAAATAATAAAAAAATTAACAGTCGCCACTCGTGAAACATGCCCTTACTTGCTGGCAGGGCACTACCAGGACATGAAAACAAAAACAAAAAGAAAAACCAACAGCACCAACGTTCCTCACATAGTGGCAAGATACATTCCTCCAAGGACTGGTGTATCTTCCAACCTGGTGAGGGCCTTTCTCTCTTGGCCGAGCCTGACCGACACACCCTTCTGGACCAATCAATCTGCACAACCGACCTTAGAGCTTGCTTGACCAAAAATTGTAATTGCTGCAACGGCACAACCTCCCCCAGCCCGTACAGGGCATTCCTCACTAAGTCTTTCCAGATTGTCCATAATATCGTGCCTCGGATGTTCAAAAAAAGGTAGCCTTATGAGTTGGTCGCCTTCAACCCCGGCGGGGACAGATAGGGATAAGGGGAGGGCGAAGGTATCCTCTAGGAGGGAATTGGATGTCTTTGCGGATGGGGGGGAAAGGAGGGGGTCTGTTCCAGGTTGGGGACGAGGTGTTTTTCCTCGGGAACAGGGCTTGCGGGTAGGGGGAAGTTTCTTTGCGCTGTGACTTTTGGAAGCTTCTTGGACAAATTATGGTATATTAAGCCTTCCGGGGTTCTGAAAACTAGAGCTGCATCTGATCTTCTTCTTCATTAGGATATTCGATTTCAGAGATGGTTGCACCTGGACTGACATCGGCAGCATTGCTCTGTTCTGTGCCCTCAGTTTGCCGATGCCAGAACGACGCTGGCTGGAGCTGGGGTGTTACCCTGTAACCTGCAACGGCAGGAGTGTGGGACCTTGTAGAGAGATCTGGGGTTTGCCAACGGAGGAGGGTAAGCCAGTGGCGAATTGTGGGGGACCGCCTTGATACCCTATGGGGTCGGGGATAGTCTTGGTGGCGAGAAGAGGTCAGCGATGGATGATGTTGGTCTGGTCAGTACTGTCTTTGAGTAGTAATGTCTTGGTATAGGGAGGGCTAGGAGTCGGTCTATATTTAGGAAACTGGAATAGCTGATATAGCACAGTATTCAATTTTTCAGTTCTTCATCAAAAAAGATTCTTAGCCGAAGCCGGGTAATGGCCCCGGCACTTCATATGTTGTGTAATAATTCATGTGGGACGCTGGACCCGGTTTCCAGCATATGCTGCTCCCCACGAATAGATTGGAGCAAATTGTTCCCAAAAAAAAAAAAAAAAAAAAAAAAAAGACAAATCACAGCTAACGGAACCCAACAAAATGCCTTCCTCAGTCTACACACCAGCCAAACGGCCAGAACAAGGGGACATATCATGCCACCACTGCCAAAAAGGTTGTACTATAGAGACAGACAGTCCGGATAGACCGCCCAAGCATGAGAACGAAAGTGAGAGATACACCGATATAATTTGTTACGCACGCATAATAGAAGCAAACCAGAACAAGCGTAATCCAGAGAGAAATAAAAAAACACACTTATACATAGCATCCCTCGAGATCGAAGCACAAGTCTGATAGCTGCGCTAGCGCTAGCGCCCCGACGTCGGCGGACCGGTAGGACCCGGTCACCCCGGCTCGACTAACGCCTGGGTAGAACAGCTCCCCGGCTGCTGGACCTGCGCAACCCCTTGTAATCCCACGGCTGGCGCTACCCCTGCTGGCGTGTCACGGGACGTCAGTGTCACCAAACAACAGGCGCCACGTGGCCACAAGCCACTTCACACCTATCGGGGGCGCAACTAATGGGGGGAGAGATGGATATGGAAGGGGAGCTAAAACATCTAGCAGAAGAATGGATTACCACACCGGAGGAGGGATGCAAGCAGATGCAGACGACAGTGGGGTTGCTTATACAGTGGCAGCATGAAGGGGGGGAGATCGCTTGGGGAGCGATCTCGATTGACCAGTGGTTGGAAGATAGGATTCAGGAATTGTTAGACATCTTGTGGGAGCTGGAGGATGGGCCGGATCCCCGGCTTGAAGTCTACATGGACTGGAAGGGGCGGGCGGACGATAGGTTGGCTGCTTGCAGAACCCTCTTCACATTGGGGCGAGATTTACGCAATCAGTTGGAGTATTGGTATGGATTGCTGGCAAGTGAAGATGATTGCGGCGAAAACACAAATAACAGCAACAACATCAGCTACAGCAACAACAACGATGGGATGGTGTCAACAATAACAATGATGGGGGGGGGCGACGTCCAAGGCTGCAGCATGATGGGAGTGATACTGCAGGTGGACGCCGAAGATAAGGGAGACGTCAACAACAACAACAACAACAACAACAACAACAATAACAACAATAATATCAACTATGGCAACAATAACAAGAACGATGGTGCGCAGGGATTGGGATCTGGAGAAATGGGCGAAAGGGTATAAAGGATGACAACAATATTAACAACGACGATGAGAACAACAACGACGACAACGACAACAACGACAACAACAACAACAACAACAACAACAACGGTGACAAGGGCGGGGGCGAAGTCCACAGCAGCAACATTAAGGTGTGATGCCGCAGGTGGACATGGATGATAAAGGTGGTGACAACAACAACAACAACATCAATATCAACAACAACAATAACAACAACAACAACGATGATGATGGGGAAGGCGACGTTCACGGCTGCCGCATGAGGGGAGTGATACAACAAATGGATGCGTATGATAATGGAGACGACAACAACAACGACGACGACAACAACAACAACAACAACAACAACAACAACAACAACAACAACAAAAATGTTGACGGCGGAGGCGGAGACGTCCATGGCAGCAGAATGATGGGTAAGATACCGCAGGTAGATGCGGCTGGAATGGGGGTGGACACGGGAAACGGGTTTTCTGACTTCCTCCTTGTTACATTTTTTGGCCTCGATACGGAGTTGCTTCTCGTTGTCTGCCAGAGGATAGGAGTAGGTTAGTCAGTGATGATTGGGTTGTCTGGCCCGCAATACCAATCAACACTAGGGTGGTGATTGCCTCGCGGGACTGGTGGTGGGCAGTTTAGGGGTTAGATTGCAGGAGGACGACCCTTCCCTTGCGCAGGGAAGTAATCAATCCCCCTGACAGAATCATAAGATAATGCATGGAGAGTATGTTGTGTTAAGGCACGCCTGATGTTCGCCAAGTACAACTCATCATTGTTAAGGTTTCGTGATGTCCACTCATAACTTATAGAGCTTTGCTATTATGCTTGAGGTATAGTTAATACATCTTACACAACATGGTATAGGGATGCTGGACCCGACTTCCAGCAGATACAAGTCATATTGTTGTAATACACATTACATCATGATTAGGGTTTCGCCTGATAGGATTGATGTCTCATTTTGTTTGCAAGGTTCTATAGATCAGATCGTTAGGGATGCTGGACTCGTTTTCCAGCACATACATTCACACCATGGCACAAGGACGCTAGACCTGATTTCCAACAGATATAGTTTCATCATTTGAATAGGAACAACCATTTCGTTAAAACGAACATATTATATTTTTTGAACGAAATTAAGCAATCCCCTTGAGACCCTGTGAAGAGTTCCCTGACCCCTTCCCCCCCCTCTTCAATTATTTGGTAGGTCTGGATTGGTATGGGAGAGAGTGAGCAGGCCTTCACTTCAGTCGGCTATCCTGGCAGGCTTCTCCTACATAGTGTTCCTTCCCCCCCCCCCTCTCAATGGGTGGGTAGGTCTGGATTCGTATGGGGGAGTGTGAGAGGGCGGGCGAGGAGGAAGGAGCAGGCCTTCACTTCAGTCGGCTATGCTGGCAGGCTTCTTCTACATATTGTTCTTCTGGGATGTTCCTGTCCTATTCTGCTGGGAGTGGGATAAACTAGTTCTTCAGTAGTAGGATTTTGGCGCCCAGCACAGGGTGAAGAGGTTTATCCCTTTTCCACCAACCTGCACTGTCAATCCTCTGGAGACAGAGCAATCAATGTTGGCAGGCGTCCCTCTCAATCACATTTCTTGCTATCGATTCTCTGTGTGTAAGGGACGCTGGACCCGTTTTCCAGCAGGTGACGCTCCCCACCAATAGACGGAGCCTTCCCCCGGGTGCTAGTGTTGCCTGCTCTTACCAGCAGCACTAGCAGTGCAGGGGGGTGTTTGTTTAAAAAAATAAAAAATAAAAAATAAAAAGAGTTTTTAGGCCGAAATCTGGTCCAAATTTTTGGCTCCTTGGGGTCCTGCGTTCCTAGAACGCCGGACCCTCTAGATGTATCTGGTCGCAGCTTGAGACTAGATACATCTCGGGGGTTCGGCATTCTCAGAACGCCGGACCCCCAGGAGCCAAAATTTTGGACCGGATTTCGGCCCAAGAACTCAATTTTAATTTCGTTCAAAAAATATAATATGTCCATTTTGACGAAATGGTTGTTTAGGGACGCTGGTCACATTGCTGTAATACACATTACATCATGATTAGGGTTTCACCTGATAGGATTGATATCTCATTTTGGTTGTGAGATTCTATACATCAGATCGATAGGGGCGCTGGACTCGTTTCCCAGCACATACATTCACACCATGGCACAAGGACGATGAACCTGATTTCCGACAGATACATTTTCATCATTTGTATAGGGACGCTGGACCCGATTTCCAGCAGGTGTAGCTCCCCACCAATAGATGGAGCCTTAGACACTGGGGCCTACTTACCGGAGATGTTCTTATCACCTCGCTAAGTAGGTTTCCCATATACGAAGTTAAAAAAAAAAAAAAAAAAAAAAAAAACCTTGGGGGCCATACCTAGGCTTTGCCTCCTTTTTATACTATCACCCTACAGCTAACTTCTCCCAATCCTCACAAAAGGTAGAAGCCATGCTCCCTCCCACAGTCAGGCAATCGCAACATCTAGCAAGAGTCCATCGGGAGAACCACCTCCCCTCAGCATTCGGTTGATAAGCTAAGGCTTGATCAGACATCTCTTCCGGCGAGATACATTGCACATTGCCGACACGTGGCTTAGAGGTCCTTATAACCATCAGTCCCACAGGAAGTAGGCAGTCATCGAAGTAGAGTTCGGGCAGCCCTCCACAGAAGCAGCACAAAACACAAACCGCAACACACAGATAGACATACAAAAAAGCCACCAACGATGCAGCAAGCGACGGTAGTCGTGTCAAAGTACAGTCGAGGAGCGTCCGTGCCATCGCAGAGGGCGACCAAGCTGGCAAACTCCCAGCGCTCAGCTGGCGCCAACTCAGCTGCTCAACCGTCGAGGCACATTCGAAAGTCGAAGAATGAGACGGACAAAGACGGGAGTCCCTTGTTTATACTAATGCTGCTAGTTCACCAGGTACCTAACAGGGCCACCAACTTCCCCAAACTGGGACCCTTATACGTGGAGGTCAGAGCAGCGGTTGCTGCTTAGGTTCCCACTGCCACAGATTATGACCGGTCGTACGACCCTCGAGGTAGTGCAGAGAATAGACGCCGACAATTTGCCCAAATGACGATCAGACGGTCCCGCTATCCCGACGAAACGAACGGAAAAGAAAAGAACCAGAAAAGAACCTCGAAACCCGCTTCGAACCCTGTACCGAATACATTCCTTACAGAACGTCACCGATTCAACAGACTGAGTAGGTCGCCGCTAATCAAAAGATTGAAAAAAAATTGAAAAAGGCGGGCTGTCACAGATGGATAATCAAAATCCTGAAAAAAAACTGACGAAGGCGGACCGCCGCCGATGGAGAATCAGAAGCCTGAATCCCCCCCCCTGTTTCCGCTATCAAAATACACCCTCGATCAGTATCTCATACATTACAGGGCCCTAAAGGCCTGCTTGGCAAAAGTGCCAAACCCCTGTCAAACTCGTCCTATTGATAACTACGGAAATCAGCCCTCCGACCTTAGGCTAGAGGATAAGAGACCCAAGCGTCCATTCATGGATGACCAAACACCTTAGGGAATGAAACAAACACCGACCCGTGTTCAGGTCCGATGAAGAGTGGTGGGATGCAGACATAATATTTATGTCAGTCATGCTAAGTGCCTTTTCTAAGATCTTAGTCCTCGATTCGAATAAGGAGGAGGCGGCTACCAAGATTGTGGTAGAGGAGGCAGAGAGGCGGGTGGCAGACCTACCGGGTAGGTTAAGGGAAGCACAGTGGCGGCAAGAAGAGCGGGCGATCAGAATGAGGAAATGGGATAAAATCCTGTAAAAGAAATCATTGAGATGGTTGAAGATCTTGAAGGTAAAGGGGATAGAAACGGGGGATAGGATTATAAAGTCCACTTTCCAACGACTTCAGCCCAGATGCAGCCACTAAGAGGTGAAACAACTATCGCACTCGTTCAATGATAGGGCTCAAGTAGCGGTCTCGTCGACAGAGATGTGTCGATACGCAGAACTGTATTACCACAAAATCTTGACCTCAAATAGAGATGCAACAGAAATACAAACTGGACAGATTAACAAATCAGATCTCTGGGACGTAGTGAATGTGAAACTAGCGGCAAAACCCCGTCTCGATCTTGACAGACCAGTAACTGACAGTGAAGTTTGGCATGCCCTCAAATCTATAGCTCGGGGAAAGGCCCCCGACTCAGATGGATTGACGGTAGAACTCTTCTGTATGTTCTGCACAAATGGTTAACGACCATCTGATGCACAGACTTGAATTCGAATCCAGACTATATATTCTAGGCCCACGCAGACAGATTACAAGTCCAGTGTCCATCTCTGCTCCACGAGGGCTCTTGCTAATATGTAGGGGCCCTTCAGAAATGAGACTAGACGAATAGATTGGAGCATTTGGTAAAAAAAAAAAAAAAAAGGACATGCACCCACATGCACACACATGTGCTCACGTGTTGGGGTATGGGGTGGCCCCACCTTTTTTCCCTCTCGCAGTTTGATTTCCGAAAGGGAGGGGCATGTTTGGCCACCCCGCCCTATTCATAGGGGTCAATTTGTTTTGTTTTTTTCCTGTTTTTGGTGTTCGAGCGCGTAGGGCCATGTGTCCGAGGCCCAACGCGCCATTTCCGTTTTTCGGCATTCGACGGAACACCCCCGTTTTTCCGTTAAACGGGATTCAACGGGGGTCCTCGGTCCCGTTAAACGGGTTGAACGACATTTAATTCCGCCCATTCTCCATTCATCGGACACACAACCGTTCAATGAACGCGCGTTCGACGCGTTCAAACCATGAACTCGAAACACGCGTTTTTTGAACGCACGACAACAGAGAGAGAGAGAGAGAGAGAGAGAGAGAGAGAGAGAGAGAGAGAGAGAGAGAGAGAGA